GCCAAATGTAGTATGCATGTTCAAAGACATCTCCTGGATGTCTTTGAGGAATCTAAAGCAAATGCTTTCAGGAATCTAAAGCAAATGTAGTATACTTTAAATACTGCAGAAGGGAAAAAGACAAACAAACAAACCAGGAAACCCCCCAACTAACGATTGCTGGAATGAACGCTGAATTTCACTTATATAGCAGAAGACTCATTCTCTTCTCCCTCCTCTGGGTCTTACAATTATTTACTCCTTTGAAAACAAGACTAAGCATTTCAGGAGTTACCAATGAACCTTTCATTTAGCTTCCTTAATGCAGAAGTGCTGATCATGCAGGCTTTCCTTGCAAAAGATGATACAATACCATGCTTTATTTTTTTTTTTTTCCTCCCTACTTTGCTTCAAAGAGACCCTGAACAATATAAGAGGAGAAACACATTTTCAAGTGTTTTGCAAACTCTAAAGAGACCTCCTTCTGGTGTTGCATCTCTGATACAACAGATGACATCAACACTTTGCTTTCAGAAATGTCAACTTTTTTTTTTTTTTTTTTTAAACCCTGAAGTGTTTATAATTCTTGTTAGAATGTGGTTTCCCATCCACCTGAACATGCTTGGTAGATGAGAAGGATAATGTCTTCTGCACCTCGGAAAGGAATAAAAGGGACTAAGCAACAAGGAAATAGCGGGTGCCATCTCCTGTCCTTTCCTGTGAAGGGAGAGCCGACAGACAATAATAGGTCTCTAGAATTTTATTCTCAGTACTTACACAGTCACTGCACCATGCTACAAGTTATTAACTCACAGCATCCCATTGCATGTTATTGGCTTTGCACAAACCTAGCAGAAAGGAACATTCTGCTTATGGTTAAACCATTGCAGTCAACACTTGCTACTACCTGAAGAACAAAACCTTTTTGTTAGAGGATGCAGTCATCATCTTTAAAAACTATGTATAATTTCAGTAATCTTTTCCTAATGCTTCAGATGCATGTATTGAATTTGAAATTGTTTGCAGTTAGTCTTATAAAGTTCTGCTTTGTTTTCTTCCAAAGAAAATAGCAGGATATTGCAAAATAGGAAGGTCCTGTAGCAAAATATGTAGTTATTACTAAATAATCCATCAAAAATGTTTTCTAATTATGACAGTCATTTTTACTTTCTTTGTATATAACATATGTTGCAGAATTGACTCAGACAAACTCTACTCAGGTATATTCACAAAGATGAAGTAAAACAGTCATCTTTAGTACCAAGTCAAGAAAGCTGGGGCTGTTTGGCAAGTAATTGTTTGCCTCTTTACCATTTTATGATCTGAGCTGACTTGCAGAGGGAGGTGGATGTGAGTTCCTAAGCACTTTCTGCCTCCTGTTTTTCATGCCTTTCCTTCTGGCTCAACCTCAGATTGGAAGATGAGGCATGCAGAGTTCAGGGGATGGTGTATGTGAACAGTATCATAGATCTAAAGTTCAAAAAAGCCACAGCCTAACAACCAGAACAAGTAAATGACATCTGCATTAAGTTGCAGTTAATTGAAGAAACAGCCTGTCGCTGTACTAAATACACCAGGAGGTTATCACTTGGACAGACCCATATTTTTATTTGCTTGAACTAGTGGGCAGGGGCTTGCACAAAGAACAAAGTTGATGCTTTTTTTTTTTTTCCCCCCTGTGGCGAGTACTGAAAAGCCAAAAAGAGCAACATTCAAGCAGAACTACTTTCAAATGCCCAGCTGCACATGCTGACTGTCTCAGCAAAGAGGAGAAATGAATGAGGGCTAGGAAGAGAAAGAGAAATATGCCCTTCTCACTGATGTCTTTGAGAACTCTTATTTAAGAGTGGCTCTTTCCAGCAGGATTAATTTGTTTTCCTGGAAAAGCTGCTAATACTGAGAGATAAAGCCCACTATTGCACAAGTTCACCATGTAAAATGTGCACTGTGAATATTTTTGAACAATTAAATCTTCTGCACTGTTTTCCAGTGTGCTCCTTTGTGTAGCAAAGTATGTACAGACACAGTCTCAGCTAAGTGTAAGATTAGGAACTGGTTACACTAGAACTGTAGCCTTATACAGCAGCTCCTGCCACATCACCTTTTGAGTTGAACCACAGCTTACTACTGCTTATATTATTTTTGTTCTGTGCAGAATTCTAATAAGGTATTTGATGAAATAAACATCTAGTAACAATACAGTTCATTTTAAGTAGTGGTGTCTTAAATGTTTCCCTTTGTTTTCTAGGGAGCATAAATTCCCAGAGCATAGAAAATTATTTCCAGCACGAACTGGCTACAATCTCATTGTGACATTAGGGGATTACTTTGATTAGACCTTCTCTTTGCAGTTCCACTGATGACTGACAGTTTCAGTAACTACAACAAAGAGAATGTTAATTAATTTGTCTGGGTACTTAACTGTGTACACATCAACTGTGAGCATAGGTGCCGTCAGTTATTCCACTGAAGCATTTCTTGGAACCTATTATAAAATCTATATTTTTATGACACCATTAGTATCAGTCTTCTTCCCTGGTGAGTCTTTGTACTGAAATGGTCATTGTGAGATTTTAAAAAGTGCTTTTATCCCTTACTGATTTATATCTAAGCTGTAGCACAGTCACAGAAGGAGCGGCTAGGATTGTAGGATGAACCGAACACCACAAGGAAATATAAACAGGACATTGTGTTCAAGGGGCCAGGGGACTGCAGTTTGTTCAAAAGAAGAAACTCATGCAAAATTCAGGTTTTGCATGTATTTATCACCTTCCAAGGAATAGATAAAATCAGTTAATATTACTTTTGGATTGCTATAATTGCACCAGGACTCTTTTTAGGGTGTTGCCTGTGCGCTACAAAGAATAGTTCACATTCTCAAGTACATCATTTTCCAGTTACATCGCTTCTCATTCTGCTTCAAAACAGAAACCAGTGCAATTAAGGACAGGCTCTGGCATAGCAGCCTTCATGGGCAATTCTTATTTTTCCTTGATGCCTGGGCTTGCTCTCAGCTAGGGGTCTGAAACTTGATGAAAAGGCAGAGCTGTTTTATGTAACTTACCTTTACTATAACACAGCCATCTTGTTCAAGAATCACGCAGTTTTATAATTCAATGTAGTACAGTAATTTGAGGAAAAATGGGTGTGTGTGTCCCATGAATTAGGCACAGTTTCAACTCCAAGCAATTTTCAAAACTGTTTCTAAATAATCACCTTGGTATTCTCTCTCCCTCTAATACAGTCCATTGTTTTTGGCAATTAATTTGTGCTTCTAGTATCTAAATGTTGAGAAACAATATTTATTCTTCTACTTATCCATTATGAATACAGCCCATTATTACTTGGAAGAGAGTTCCTTCAGGTGCAGAAGTTGTCAAAATGCAGGAAAGAACATTTAGAACATTTTAAAACATTGATGCCAATGATACAGTGCACAGGGTACACATTTGACTTAAGAGTATGAACAACTTGTTCATTTGATTACTGTATCTAATCTAATCCTCAGTTAAACTGATCAATATTCAGGCTGCAGTAGATTTAGGCAGATTTGCTTACAAAATAAATCACTAAATTTGAAATTAGCAGAAATATTATTGTCCCCTTCAAAAGTGGCAGAAAATACTGTCCACCTGCCACCAATTGTAAATTCAGCTTGAAGTTGCTGGCCTAATGGTGGTATTTTCCCCACTCATATTTCTTACGTGAACTTGCAGAAGAAATGGTGCAAAATAGGAAGACCTGTTGGAATAGGCAGAAAGGAATTCAAACTTTAATCTGATTGGTTTAATTTTTTTTTTTTTAGCAGGAGGAAAAAGAATAAAGTTACAAGATTCTTTTAATATTTTCACAATGTTAAACTAAAACTGAGCTCTAGGCTACATGTGTAAGTAAATCTAGAACACAAAAGGGTTAAATAAGATCTTCCTTTAAGATACAAGAACTTAAGCTTTCTTTACGTTTAACAAACTTCACAGAACAGATACTGCAAAGGAACAACCCCCTCCCCAACTTTTTTGTTTAAAGTGAACATTGTCCATAATTCACATGAACTTTAAGTAGTGTTCTCTCAAGAGCCACCTTGAAACCATCTGTGCACTTGTAACGAGATTAAAGAGAATAATAAAGAGGAACAAAATAGCATCTTCAGTATTAATGCAGAAAAGTCTTGTGTATCTATCAGAATGCCCATCAAATGTTATGACAGGATTTTGTAGGAAAAGAAAGTGCGTATCACAGCAGCCGCCAAAATCCATGGGTTTTTTTAATTCCTCACAGCAAATGTAAATAATAGCCTTGGACAGTCCTTCTCACCAGGACTGTTTCCTGAAAATGCAGCACAGAAGATTTTGCTGCTGGTTTCATATTCTTGAATAATAACAATAATAAAAAAAACAGCTTGCTTTTTGGGTAGCTTGCATTTTATAATGATGGGACACTTCCGATTTGCTTCATGGTTAATTAACGCTAATACAGTCAGATGCTGAGTGTGTGTGTGGAGAGACATCTATATATATATTCTTTTTTTTTTTTTTTTTAAATTAGTTGTCTCCTTGTTAAATGCTCCTAGCTGGCTACCAAAGTAACAATATAATTTGGCCAATAAGGAGTTAGTTACCTGTAACAAGTAGAATGGAGGATGACTCACACAAGCTTACTCCCAAAACACTGGGGTTTTTCAAGTGACATATTACTTACACCTCTGATGTTTTGTATCTGCCCAGTATTTGAAGATGATACAAAATCCTTCCCTCCCTCAGGTTTTCTTACAAATTTACCTGATTGTAAATACCTTACTAATAGACCAAGCAGCTAAATTCACTCAGGATTAAGCTGGGCCACATCAGTACAATCCTTTTTACCTGCATAAACCCTGTGTGCAGCAGGAGACATGTTATTACTGTGTTTGCATTTGTTTCCAAACTGACAAGACTGGTGCAATTCAGTTCAGCTCAGCTCAGCTCAACGTGACATACCGTAATACAGAACCACAGGTCTAAACAGATCCAAAACATTCTACTCCATGTAATGCTTTTCATATTCACTTGCTATACTTGCTTTGCAATAGATGCGGGCAGAGACTTCGATGAGAGCGTTCAGCTGCATAGAACCAGGGCTGATATAGCCCATCTGATTATCTCATTGACACTCTGGAAGCGAGGAACACAAACTCGAACTGATAAAGGGTGTCTTACCGGTTGTTCCCCAATACTGTTACTGAATTCCGTTTGCTACAAAATGTCCTTTTTTGTCCCCAATATATAAGTCTAGCTACAGAAAGTCAGTCTGTAGAATCCAGCCATGGCTACTGTGCTGTGAATTAGCCTTATTTGATCAATTATCAGATACCTGCACTTAGCAAAAGGCAAACAAGAGCCAATCAGGTTTCGGCGGGTGGGAATGGCTGCACTGCTCAAGGTATGTGGAATCTGTTCACACAACTCGTAGATCTCTGTGGATGCCTTGTAAAAAGTATGCACCATTTCCTGCTCTGGGATGGAGTTGGCTTTAAAGTGAGATCATAATTTAACTGAGAAGAAAGAAAAAAAACCAAAAACAAACCAAAACCAAACAAACCCTGATAGGTTCTTTACAGTAAGATAGATATAAAAATTTTTCATAAGAATCTCTGTCCCCTTTTCTTTTTGGCTTCCTGGGCAGAACCAGAAAGATGTTCCTACCCCAGCAGAATCCCTGATGCTGGTGACACTGCCTAACTCAAAAGCCACACGCGATGAAGGCACGAGTGACCAGTCAGGTCTTCTGGGCTTAAGCAGCTGCAGTTGCTGCTCTTAGTAGTATTTCACCTCCTCAGGATTCACTAGCAGTGAAGAGGTGAAAGGCTGCACATTAAACAGTTTGTCCGAAAGCCATGTGCATAGCAAACTTTTACACCAGCTTCTATACAACTACTTGTTTTAACTCTGCAGCTGGAATGTTTCCAGCGTAAGGCTTTTAGAGTGACTCCAGCAATAACAGAAGCCTTTGGATTTTTCTTGTTTTGTTTAAATCCACTAGCCATGCTCAAAAGTAATATTTCGTCATCGTTTATTTTTTATACGGTGGCTAGCAGGCACCTTAGTAACCAGCCAGAAATCAATTTCAACCACCATCAACCCCTAAACTACAGTACCAGGACGGTTGGCTAAAGAAAGGAAACTGATTGGCTGTAGTCTGAAACTTGCCTAGTACAAGGTGTCTGGCTGACTTTGTCCTAAATAAGGCTAACATTAGTGAACTAAGAGAACAGCATTTGGTTGCAGTCTTGCACTCAGGAACATCCTTCGCCAATGCGTTGGCAAGATCTCCCTACTTTCCGATCCAGTTTCACCATTTTCATAATGGCTTCCTCACGCCCGCGTCCCATGTGGTCAAATGTGCAGTCATGTTGTTCAGGCAGGCGATGTAACATACAGAACACATAACCTACCATGGAAAGGGAGAAAAAAAATACGGTTAGGGACGTGGTTAAAGTGGCAGAATCTTACCTGAATCAGAAGTGAAGGATCACCTACTCGGGGATTATTCAGTGCCCAAAGATTAAAGCCAGCTCTTAAGTTTTTACTTATCTTCCTTACAGGGTATTAATAAATATCTGATTATTTACTACAGTTTCTTGAGTATTTATCAACACAGTATCAACGCTCAAGTCATATTAGGTTTGGGGTTTTTTTGCCATCCTCTCAGTTTTACAGAGGATGACCCCCAAATGATCTAAACTAGGTATGCCCAGATAGTAACAAAGCTAATGTTTTAAATAAAAGACTGATCACCTTCACTGAAATATTTTCACTGAAAAATTTCAATAATTCATGTGGAGTTGGTTGTCATTTCTGAAATTCATGCCTATGGTACTTCAGATTTAGCTCCCAAGCAGGCGTTCAAGCCTGTTAAATCTAAGCATCTTGCTTCCTCCTTACTGCCAGCACCCCAAGCTGGCAGTGACTGCAGGAGAGTAGCTCCACTACTATTCCAAGTTTTCAGAAGCTTCTCTTCATTAACTGTTCTGACACTAAGCATGGCGGTGAACAGGCATTTGACATGGGGACATGTCATGCCACATCATCTTGCTCTGTAGCTGAAAAGATGTAGGTTATTGTCTCTTTGTCTAAAGCTGGTCAATGTTCTTCAGTTTTCCAGGGAGCATGTGATTCAGAAACACATGGCAATACTTTTTCCTACAAGTGAGGAGGGCATCTTCAGTAGCCACCTCTTTCTAGTCTACCAAAAAAAAAAAAAAAATCAGCTTTTTTCTTATTTGGCCCTAACACTTTATAACAATAAAGAAATTGCCTCAAATTTCCTACCTCTAATGAATGTTACATAGCGGTAAGTACTAAGGTGATATAGTAGGGAAGAGTCACAAATCTACAGGGTTCATGTTGTCCACCGTATATGAAATGAAGTATGATACCACCTATGCTGCAATGTTTTTCCTGCCTAATGGTGCAAAAAGCATCACTGCCTCTCACCAAATGCTTTACATTACTGCTGCTCCTTGAATGCTCAAAAGTTATTAAAACCACAAAATCATCATATTTGAGAGATGGAAAGGATAAAAATGAGTGAATGAGAGTGTGTTTGTGCACATACACACACACACACATATATATATATTAAAAAAATGCGTGTAAAGTACTTCAAGCTCCTGACTATCAAACTTCAATTGTAGGAGAGAACAACAGGCTACCTTTATGTTAGTGCGATTGTTAGGAAAACAGAAAGGGAAAAAGTATCACACATGGAATTACTTTAAAAAAAAAAAAAAAAAAAGGTGAAGAAAAATTGATTTATCTTTGCTCTTTGTTTCAATAGCACCAGCTACGAAAAGATGTCTGTTATCTGTGGCTGGCTTTGAAACCCAGTTCTAGGAACAAAGCAAAAATGACAAGTTTTCTGTATTGGTATGTGTGATTCAGAAATATGGATGGAAAGATGGAGATTGAATTGACATATACCTTGCCCCTTGTGATCACTGCCTCCACTTCAATCTCAGACTGGGTCATACCACACTCAAATGTGACAGATATCTTTCTTGAGGTGCCAAAAACCCAAGGTCTGGTTGTTAAAATTAAAACATCTTTGGACTATAGTTCAATATACTGAACAGGCATTTCACTCAATTCTCTCTTACAGAAAGCATGGACTGAAGGCTTCCCTTATTTCTTGAAATAAAACTTCAAATTACTGAACCAACATCCACTGCAGCCACAAGAACACATAAATACCCAACTAGATTAGCTCAAAAATCAAGTTGGTCATCTTATCTGCAATAGATGTGTAAGAAGCAGATGCAAGAAACCCTTGAGATATGGATTGGGCTGAAGTTGTTTCAGTCCCTTGCAGGTAAAAGATGGTTTTAAATCCTGATGGTTTTACAGATCCTCTCCATATGGTTAACAAGCACATGTAGAAATGCTATTTGATGTTATCTAAAAGAGATCTTGAACATGTATGCAATCTTCTATACAACTTCAGCAAGACCCTTTTGACATTTATAAATCTAGTAAGAAAATACATAAATAACATGATTTTATCACTTTTGAACATGACCTTTCAATTGCCCCATCTCCTTACATTCTACAAAGCCTCCTGCCTTTTGCAGACCAGCGAAACTTTGTGATGTTCCTTTCTACTTTGCCACCCTCTCAATATCATCTATTCTGTGCTTTGCCATATCTCTATTTCTTTTTCAAACACCTTTTAGTTCTTTTTAGAGCACCTGTTTTCACATAGGAAAAGCTGTACTGTATGCTGTTTTTATTCTAAATGAAAATTATTTATTTTTCCTGTTTGTCAAGTATTTCCTTATGCATTCTTGAACAGAATTTCAGTAACTGTCCACAAAGAAGGGCAGGTGATTTTCATTTTCCCAGACTATGGGAAAAGAATTTCAAATTTCAGCAACCAAATGATCTAAACCTGTTGTTCCTATATCTATTTAAATATGTACTGCTAATAAGAACTGATAATACCTAATGAAAGAACACCCAAGCACGTTTTGAACATTACTAAAGATAGTTTTGCATATATTGGCTGTTCTTATGGAGGGGGTTTATTCTTGTTGAATTAGCAATGGAGATCTTCTGGAAGTCGCATTTCCAAGAGACTTCAGATTTTCAGTCCCATTGCTCCAAATGTCTTAAGTCACTTTAAAGACTGGAACTTGTATTTTTGTAGGTTTTATTTAACATTTAAAGGACTTGAATACTGTTATGTAGTAGCTAGTTGAGTAACAGTAGTTCTGAACATTTTTTCATTTGTTCAGAGTGGATGTATTCAATTAAGTTATTATTGCTATAGTCACTCCTTGCTTCTTCACTGGTCTGGAAATCAGAGTGGACATTCTGTGGTCCGCACGTGCACAAGTGCCTGATGCCGTATCAAGACCACCAGTTATTTACAACAGTTCAATTACTAACTAACACGCACTGGGGCAGAAGGCCAATACATGTACTTCTATTTTGATCCTTAAAGCCATTCCAGATTTAGAGGTGAAACCTTTTCTCCCAAGAACTCTGCTTTTATGGTTATAAAGTAAATGAGATTAATGAACTCTTGTGGTTTATTTACTGTTAAGTTCATTATGGACAGATTATCAAATACAGGTTGTCTCCCCTAAAGGATTTTACTGCAGAAATGCTTCTTTTAGCACACTATAGCTAAAAGACAAAATAACTTTCTGTTAGGGGAAAAGCACTGGAAAAGGGAATCCATCTGCCAACTAAAGCTAGTTTACCCTAGTCATCAACCAAAAATATGCCAGACTTCCACTCCAAGCATAGAAGATTTCAGTCTAGTAAATGTAATAATACATCTCTCAGCATTGCAACTGTTGTTTTCTGATGTTAGAAGTAAACTATGAATCACCTACTCCTTGGGCCTCTAATGCAAACATCTTGGAAAATCATGTAGAGCCTCAAAACCTTTGAGCTCCACTAAGCACCTCAGCAACTACTTCACAATATATCATCAAAAATTCACTTCCATGTCATCACCAGAGCATAAATGGCTAAAGCCATAAAGCAGTGCACCATCTCTGCCTTAATTTTACCCATACAGGTGAGTTTCTTGCATAGGACGTGCAAAAAAAATATAATTCAAAGGAAGTCTAAGATGCACACAAGCAACTGTGAAGTTTTCATCATTCCTGAGGAATCTGCTGGGAAAAGGCAATAGGAGAGGACAGAAAACAAAATAATCTTCCATATTTAAGACCAGAGAATACCACAGACCTACAGTTTGCTCTGTGTGGGTGATGATGAAAAATGACTGCATTTTCTTTATTGCTACATTAAAGAGCACTGGCTTGATGGGAGTATGGAATGACAATAAGCAAATATTTCATCTAAAACCTACATTTAATTCTTAACTTTGTCTTCAAATTCTGAAATTAGTAAGTTGCTAAAATACCAACAAAACGATATTTGAACCATCAGAAACAATTCAACTAAATGGTATAATAAGCCACAACAAGAGCCAAATTATAAGTTTAGAGGATCCCTGATTTTGTTAAATTTCTTTTTTCTCTTTACTAACTGAACAAAAAGTGGTCAGATTATGGAACACGGCACATAACTGGATTACTGCAAACTACCAATGGAGAAGCACTGCACACTGCTGGGACTACTCTAGTGGACGTCCAAGGAGTAGTCCCAGACTCGTCCAGTGTACTGTTGGAGAACATGGCGTTGTTACATAAAATATATAATAAATATAATGATGCACGAATAGCATCATGATAGGAATGAAGCTCCTTTTTTTCCTGCCCCAAGATTCTAGTCCTAATCTCATTGATGACACATTCAGCAAGCCGCTTAAAGGCAGCCAGATTTGTTTCGTTTGTGAGCGTATTTTGAGAAGTGGTGAAAGTGCCAAAGAAGCTGATTAAATATTTATACAGCTTATACATTTACAAAGTGGCTTAAAAACATTTTAAAGTTTCCCTATTTGAAATATCTTGATGTATTACCTAAAAAGTAGTTTCATGCTGCCACAATTATCATACTAAATCAGAGCTTCTGACACTTTAAAATCATCTTACCTGCCCACTAGTACTGCTGTTTATCATTTTCATTCCCAATTCAAAACGCCTAAGTTCAAAACTGCCAGAATTTGCAGCCACTTTCAAATTTTCTAGATCCCCTATACAAAGCCTATTCAAAAGTAGTCTTAAAAATGGCATAGACTTATTCCTATGCAGAATTCTGTGCTGTATGCTTTGGTTTCTTCATGTGCTTCACAAGAAATTTTACCTTTCTTGCTAATTTGAAATTCTAATCAACAAGAGGTTCAAGCAGAACTTAAAAATACCTTCTAACCTTAAGAGATGAAGGTGCCGCAAAAACTCTCTATCAAAGGTGTATTATCTAACAAGGTATGTGTGAGTCTATATGCAGATTTCTATGCAAGAGCAGATTGTAACA